CGGGGTGTCCAAGATGATCCCCATGGTATGGGCAAGATAATCCGTAGGGTTATCTTACCCCAATTATTGGAAAAGAAGTATAAATTGAAGGAATAACAGTGTATCAATGTTAAATATACTTTATTTAGGCCACAAACGCTTTTGACCACTAACCACGATTCGTTTTCCTATTTTTTAATTACGAGGCATTGTCTACAACGAGAAAATTAATAAAATAGATGTAGATGTCAACTTTTTGTTTTAGATAAGTTAGTTTTCTTAATAAAAACATATAAGAAGCGAGAAAAATTGAATTTTTTATTAATACTAGAAAATTCACTTTGAGGTGAGACGAAATACATGGGAATCAGGGGGGATCATCTTGTACACCCATTGAGGGATCATCTTGCCCCAAATGCCACTATTTTGTAATTTGTTCGTAGCTTAACCTACGAGCTCTGTTATTCCATAATACCAATCAGAACACTTAGTTGAAGAGATACTGAAGCCGTGAGTACAAGAAACATGGAATTTCAGCTACTACAACAAAAGTTACCTAAGCCCAAAGTTAAGCTTTCCTTAGATCAAAAGTATGAAATTTTTATTTTTTCCAATAGAATTTTTTTAATGACGCGTGTTGTCATAACAGTTTGACTGATTCATAGGTATGTCATTGGCAACGTATTACCGTATTTGCCTAAAAGGTGGCGCTAATAGGCTCGCCAAAATTCAAAAGGATCATCTTGCCCCAGGGGATAATCTCGTACACCTTTCCCCTACATGGAAAGAAAAAAAATAATCTGATTTTTGAGATTTTTTCAAGTCATGGAAAGTATGACAAGAACAAAGTTTTCGTACAAGATTACTTCTTTATACAATTTATGAAATATTACTTTTAATAGATTTTTAATTTTTTATTGAATATTATTAAATTTTTTTTAAAGACATGAATAAAATAAATTATTTTAATAAAAAATCAATTTATAATATAACTATGATTTTTAATTTGGTAAGCAGTTAACAAAACTTAATTTTCCATGATTTTTATAAAAATTTACAAATTTTTTTAGCGACTTTTATAATGTAATAATTATATAAATAAACAACATTATACAAATGACTGACAATTTGTTTTTCTTAAATATTAATTAAATTTTTAACTGTTGTTCTACCTATGTTTAAAAAAAAAGTAATGTGATCAACTTTTTTTGGAACTACAGCACCCCCAAAAATTAGGAACGCAGCGCCTCTAACATTTGGTTAATCCTCTCCTCTAAATGGGAATATGCTGACGTCCCAAGTGCGTAGGTACGCTGACTTCCACCTTTCTGGCAGACTGTCCTCCAAGACTTTTTCAGTGTATGCTACCTACAGTTTTTGGGGTCGCCGATTACGAATCTGAAGTCAGATTTCAAAAATTCAAAATGGCGGATCCAAAATGGCGGACATACAATTTTTAAAGTTAATCGATTTTTATGAAACTTTGTATCTAGGGGTTTTTTAGGTCGCTGATTACAAATCTGCTGAAAGAATTCATGTGGATTTTAGATTGGATAAGATTCGCCTACAATTTGTTGCTTGGGAGTTTTTAAGTTTGGTGATTACAAAACTAGTGTCTATAAAATTCAGAAAATAAAAAAAATTGTCCTGCTATTAGCTTACAAAAATAAAATGTATAAACACTCCATTTCATATCTAAATCTGATTTCAGAAACACAGTGCTCATTTTCAGATTTTTAAAATCTGACAACAGATTCGTAATCAGCAACCCGAAAATGTTTTTTAATGTTCTGTGCCTTTTAAAAATTTTTAAAAAATATGAACATACACTTAAAACTTTAAGAAAACAAAATCCGTTGAGAAAATTTAGGAGCAACAATTATTTTAAAAGTTATAATGAAAATTATATTGGCGCGGTGTAGTGCATCAACGCTGAACTTAGTTTTTGATCATTTTTATTAACTTTTATGGTTATATAATTGAATAAAAATGTTAATTTGACAGTGTTTTGTTCATTTCGTAGTTAAAAATAATGTTTTAATTCTGAAAATCATCAAAATCGCATCTCCGTTCAATATAATTTTCATTATAACTTTTGAAATAGTTGTCGCTCCTAAATTTTCTCAGTGGATGTTGATTTCTTATAGTTTTAAGTGTATGTTAATATTTTTTCAAATTTTAAAAAGGCGCAGAACATTAAAAGAAACTAATTGTTTATAAAAAATTTATTAAATAATTATTAAAAAATAAACTTTTTAAAAGCTTTCTAATTCTAAACAAAAGTATATTTTATCCCCTTTATATTCCCGCTTGGTTCATTTAAATTAGTTCATTCATTTAGGAGAAATAAAATTTTGTTTAAAAAGTTGCAAAAAAATAATTTTGCAATAACTGTTATAAAAAATAATTTTTTTTATGTTTTTAGTGGACGCATTCTTAAGGCCAAATAGAAATGTTTTTTCAACATTTCGATTTAAAAAAATACTTTTTATTTTCTGTGAAAATTTCACGAATTCTGACCCCTCTACATACCTATGTATTCATTAATTAAAAAATTGATTGATTAATTAATTAAAAATTTAAAGAAAAAAATTTAAATTGATTAATTGATTAATTTAAAATTTTTTATGACCGTTATTTTGATTTTTTGAAATCTGACATCAGATTCGTAATCAGCGACTCAAAAAACCCATAGATACCTATGTTTAATTCGAATTTATTGATTTTAAAATTTTTATCTCCGCCATATTGGATCCGCCATTTTCAATTTTTGAAATCTGACATCAGATTCGTAATCAGAAACAAAAAAACGTTAGATACATAATTGATTAATTTTGGAAATTGTCTTTATATATTTATTGAATATATTTATATATGTTTATTGCAATATTGTTGTTATATTGAAAAAATACGAAAAGGCGCAAAATGGCACATATTGGCGTCAAAGTAAACATGCTAAGTAATCGTTGTATAACTTGTTTTCCCAAATATTATGCGGCTCGGAGGTGCTTGACTAACTGAAAGTCGGCACTCTATTGAAAAATCCACTATTTGTTAACTTCAATGGAGATCTGTTGATGAGAAAAAATAAGTACTTATACAAAAATAATTAATTTATTTCTAGATATATTGAGTATTTTAATCAAAAACATTTCATTATTTTAGTTAAATGTTAAACTTTAAATAGTTCTAGAAGACACAATTTTGTATTATTTAACAAATACTTTATGCAATAAATTTCTTATTTACTATTAAATACTGTGGATAAATTCTTTTGTGCATATTTGAAAGTTGAAAAATTGTAGTTTTGGCCAAAATTCGACGATGAAGAAGTCCCATGTCAGCGATTGGACCTTCAACATGTGGAAGGGGAAAATTTTCCCTTTCCTCCTTGTAATTACAAGAGAAAGGGTAAAAACTTCTTCATCGTCCGTGCGGTTGATATAGTCAAACACTTTAATTTTTCGCGACGTGAACATTTCGGAAAAATGACAGGGAACGGAACTGTGTTGCTTTCTGCGCATACGCAAAGCACCATGTGGAAGTGCACATTTTGTTTTAGATTAAAACTTGGTTGTTTTCTCATGCTTTCAGTTATGCAAGGTACAGTAACCAAATTCGATACTTCAGTTCACCATTTTCATAAAGAAAATGTGAATTTATATGTATTAACGCAAATGGGAACTGCGAAAAAATGCTTTATTATAGACCGAATAGTGAAGAATATTGCGCGGTTCCTATTTGCGTAAATAAATATAAATTCACATTTTCTTCATGAAAATTGTGAACTGAAGTATCGAATTTGGTTACTATACCTTGCATAACTGAAAGCATGAGAAAACAACTAAGTTTCAATCAAAAACAAAATGTGCATTTTCGCATGGTGATATCATTGAGACCTTGGTACGGTCTGTGCATGCGCAGAGAGCAACAGAGTTCACGTCGTAAAAATTTAAAGTGTTTGACTATATCAACCGCACGGACGATGAAGAAGTTTTTACCCTTTCTCTTGTAATTACAAGGAGGAAAAGGAAAAATTTCCCCTTCCACATGTTGAAGGTCTAATCGCTTTTTATTGCTCATAGTAAAAAATGATTTCATTGGGAACTTTGACATTCTAATTTTCCATTTTCGTAAAGAAAGTGAAAAAATATTAATTTTTGTAGGAGAATCGGCTGTCGCAAAATTGCGATTTTTGTGCTTTGTTTGTTTACATTTTGGTTTGTTTACATTTCACAACTTGGACATAGCCTTAAGATTATAATTTAACAAACAGCTAGATTTGCAAAATACTCTGGAAAATACAACACACCGTTCTTAGTGCAAGGCAGGATTATTTGGTGTAGGCTCAAATTTCTTAAAAGAAAAACACTATTTTGTTATTTGTTTATAGTACAATTTGTAAATTTTGTCTATTCCAATAAGTGGTACTGTAGTCCCCATAGTAAATTTTTTACCGTGTACGTTACTGCAATGTTCTTATGCTTATGACAATGCGGGGTCCAGTGGACCCCGCTTGCCCGTTTGTGCCGGTAAAAAGTTTAAACACCCATGTGGCATCATGCACAATTGGAATAGGAAAACTGTAAAATTATTTGGATGTATTTTTAGTCTATTTAACAGAATTTCTAGGATAAACGCCCAAGGGTTAAAGATTGTGTTGTATACTTATAGCCCGTGTACGCGCTCAAATAGCACTGAAAAAAAATATTTTTAGTGCTAGGATCTTTCTAAATATTTTACACCACATTTTTGAAATATTTTACTTTCGAAATCCGTAATAAAAAAATTTTTGATTTTTTGAAGATGACAAACTGGTATGAACCCTTAACTTTATTCAAAAGTAAATAAATTTAACAATATTAAATTATTTTCGAAAAGCCCTAGTGCTCTTACATAATATTTAAGAAAAATTGTATTAGATAGTACATTTATTGTGCAGAAATATTTCCATGTTGATATATTTAATAAGCCGAATATTTTCCATGCTGACGAGTGTAACTTCTATTCTATTCTTTCAGGTTCTTGGTTTATCCAAAAATTATGTGAGGTGCTTGAAGCTGAAGATAGAATTACGTGGAAAAAGTTGTCTCTTAAAGTCAAAAATCTTGTTTCCAATGAAAGAGGAGAAATATGTGATAATGGAAAACGATACAGTGACATTGTTCAAATTCCAGAAATTGTTGAAGATCGGTTAACTAAGGATTTTATATTTAGGAAAGTTAATTCTAAAATCAAACATTTATCTTAAGCAGTTAAAGTATAAGAGTTATAGCCAACTGATTTGAAAAACGTGAGGTCAAGGAAGGTGGATACCAATAGGACGTCTATGTCAGATCCTGAAATATCCGTTCCTGTTAGGGGATATAAAAAAATAATTGTGTTTTTATAATTAACATACCCTCATTTTATTGTAATCGATTATTTTTATCACACATTGATAATGTTATGATTATTAGCAGCTTTGTAGTGAAATTTAACATTGTATTATTTTTCCCTCTAAATTTAAGGAAAAATGAAAGTTCTCACTTGATGGAGGAATTACATACATTGTAAAAAATTATATATTAATTTGAATATATTTATGATTAAAATATTTTATTTCTTTGTTGTTTACTAAATAAACGTACATAATTAGGTTAAACTAGAAATTGATCACAACAATTTTGATAAAATAACCAAATTAGTTAGATAACGGAACGAATTTAATACAATAAAAAAGAATATCACTCCGCATTCAGACCAGGGATGTCCTGAGATATCTTAAGGACATCCTGGGAATATCCAAATTTCCGGAGGTGACTAGGACTTCAGTAGGATATCCTTGAATATCCGTTGCTGTTAGGGTGGTGTGGGCATAAAAATTAAAATATCAACAGTGATAATTAAGGAAATAGACAAATCAATTCACAGCCAGTCAAATTCATAAACTATAAGAATTCCATAAATCAGTATAATGGTGCTTGTTTCTCAAGATTATTTATGCCCACAATTGCTTTTTCTCCCTTTAAAATTTGGTTTATAAGAATGTAATACTTTGGGATGCAATGTAAAGCGATACATGTATTGAACTTTTGTTCAATCATAGTGGTAAATTCTTGTACACCAGATTGACAGCTTTTGTAAATCTTCTTTCGAGGTAAGTAGCACCAGCTACTTCTGTGCAACCAAAACTGGTTAATGCGCGTTGCTACTCGTAGAGGATACCATTTTTCGTTTACCGATGTTGATGTTGGACTTAGGTCAAAGTTTCTCAAAAAAATCGAAGTTGGTCATGAGATGGTCTTTCAATTTTTGTGAAACTTGGTATAAATGTAGTGTTTTATGACAAAAGATTTTAGGAAAAAAAGATTTTAAAAATTGTGTATTTAATTATTATAAAACTTAAAGGAATTCCGTAAAATTCTGTAAGTAGTAGTAATTTTTCATTTTTGGTCCATAAAGTCCGTATTTTTAAATACTATCACTGGTTCGAGCACTGAGTTCATATTGACTCCCATTCTTTAAAGTTATTTTTCAATTTTTTCCATATACTTTCTTTCTGACGCAATGTTTTCAAAACCTTTAAAACGCCACAAGAGCCTTACATTAAATTTTTTAATATATTAGCCGCTCTAAATTATAAATCAAATGAAAACAAAAAAATTATATTTTCTTCTATGACCTATAGTGACTAGTGAGGTATCTTCACAAACTAAAAAGCAAGAAATTCATGTGGCAAGATACACAGATTTTGACGACAAACGGTTTGATTCTTGTAATTCAAATAAATTAAAATCTGACTCCATTGTTAAGGATAAGCCATTGTTACAAGTGGTGATAGATTGAAATCCACACCATCAATTTTTTGTCTTATGCAATTGGGCAGATGTTAAGGGTGCGCTATTTTTCGAAAGAATCAAAGAAACCTTTGCCTAATCCACCATCGTTAAATAATTGGATCAATGGTTATTTTCTAAATTATGGAAACTTTTGGATCCTTAAAGAGCTACGAAATACGTTTTGTAATTGTTTTGTAATCAACCAGATTTTCGAGAACTTTTCTTACAGTCACCAGTTCTTCGCTATTAACAACAAAAAATATTAAAAGAAATTTTTTTATTTAGTTTAATATATCTGTAATAAAATGTAAAAATTTTAAAATGTTCATTACAAAAAAAAATTCTTCAAAATAAGTACAAAAGACCTAGACTGCCCCCTTAATCGACTAGACAATAATTGACAGTGCATCATTATACATTATACATCATTATACCTCGACGTCAAATCTCCCGCTTGATATATGACGAAAGTTCGAGGGGCTTCTCACTCATAAAATAACGTAAAATTCTGGTTCAGATCTTGTCATACTCTGTATCAACAAAACTACAATTATGTTAGGTTTCGTCAGAGTCCGTCAAAGACTGTCACTGAACGCGTGTGCAAATAGGTAAAACGCTCAACTTCACATGATTTTCGCATGATTTCGTAAAAATCTGTCAAGCAATATTTAAATGAATCTAACGGAATCTTAAGTGAGAAGCCCCTCGCGAAAGTTCGCATGGGTTTGCCTGGTTTGATATTGAAATCGAATTCTGAAGAAGGTGGTAGATATCTAAGCTACATTAGAAATATAATAATTATTAAACCATTACTTTGTTTTTAACTTAATCTACTTTAAATGACAAAATGTTTCTGTAAAAATAATGCCAGTTGCATTTCAAGTAATAGTAAGAGTAGTAAATAATAATTTTTAATTAAATTATACTCAGGAATTAGTATTAAATATTAATTGTAAACTCTTAATCTGATACAACAAAATTATTTCTATTTATTGTTACATACATACACACAGGAGCATGTTCTTTTAAAGCTATTGCATTTGTAATAAAATTTAACCCCTAATATTTTCTAAACAGGGCATATCAAGCAAATCTTAATGTTTTTTTATTTTTTCGCCTGACAAATTAAATTAAATTTTGAAATGTCGGCTTCAGATTTATTTTCAGCAACTCTACATCTACCGAGTAATCGTTGGAAATAATTCAGGCTTTAAAGGTTAATAAATATTTTTTTTCTACAGCGAAACTATATTTTTGAAAAGAATAATAAAAATGCTATTAAAAACATTTAAATAATGTTTTCCTATAATTAATAACAAATTCGATTACTTAAATTGTAAATCAACATCTGTATTATTAATTATTACATTTTTGTTGGAAGGAGAAGACTTCATTTCGTATAGAATTAGTGACAGGTTAAGGTAATGACGTGTACTTGAGCATCTGGATATTTAACGCTTTATCAATCTTTTGGAGAGTTATTAATGACACTTGCTGACTCATTGTATCGGCTTCAAAAGTGATATCTTCAAAGTTTAATATCCAAAGAATCAAGTCAGTCGGCCGATGTAGAGAACATACATATAACACTTCTGTCATACTCAGTATCTAATATTCGACTCTTGGAATATAGTTAAAACCTATTGGAGTATCTCGGTTTAATTTTAAAAAAGTATATAAGTCATTCTATTTTAAAACAACCCTCCTCATATACAATTTCAGACAATTTTTAAATAATTATTTCTCATAATTAATGAATCCTAAATTTATTAACTATTAGTGATTTAAAAGAAAAATTTCTCAAATTTACAGGAAGTAAAAATATTTTTCCACTAAAAAGATTGTAATGCACTATTCAGGGAATTTAGAGAAATTAATTAAGTTTTACAATGATTTAAAAAGTTAAAATGTAAATATAGAGCGAAATTTGATTTTTCAAATTTTCACTTTTGTTTACCTTAAAATAATCATTTTGAATCATAGAAAAAAAACAATAAATATTTTGAAAATAAGGTTTATTTAAATGTAATATGTTGTAAATTTAACGACTACAGTAAAACATGGAAGTGCAAAATATTTAAGAGTTATTCAAAAAATGTAAATTTTATAATTTCTTAAGATTTAGTAAAAACAAATGCTGCATTATTCAATAAGTGGTTTACAATCTTTACAAATGAATAAAACTAGAATATTTAATATTCATTTTGACATAAATTGGAAACAAAATCGAGATTTTCGTCAGTTTATCGACCAAAATTAATTTTTTTTAATTCTATATTAATATTTTGAAAATTGTTTTATATTGCCAATTGTTTATAAAGAAAGTCGTTTTAAAATAGGAATTCTCATATTTTAAATCTACTGAAAGATACTTTGCACATTTTAAATATTAATAAGAAACTGTTGTCAATGTACTTGAAATATTAATTAAACAATTTAGATATTTGGAACAAATATTAATTAAAATTAAATAATAATAATCATTTATCGAGAATCCTTGGATATACAGTGCCGCTCAATAACTTTTGCCCACCCTACAGCGATTAAACACCTTACAAAAAGTTTTGTATTTTGTTTATTATTAAAGTTAAAAAGCTCAAAAAGGTCTCTTTTTAAAGCTCTTTTCTTGAGCTTTGACACTACATGAAACAGAAATTAAAAAAATTAATTTGATAATGTTTAAAAAATGTTATTGCAACATAAAATTTTTCTTTTTTTTGGTTTTTTAAAGCGATACCGTTTTTTAGGAAATCATCGCATGTGAATCACACTTGTATCATTTTAAACCTAGTTTTATCACCTTTAAAACGCATTTTTTAAAAAATTTTTACAATAATTTTTAAGAATAATATGATTATTTGTTTAAAAAATTAGCCATTTTTTTCAATTGTTGATAACTCAAAAACGGTTCATTTAAAAAAAAAATTTTAAGAACATAAATTGTTCATTTTTAGGGTTTCGTGGCCAAGGGCCAAAACCCTTATAGCGAGACTTCGGTGTCCGTCCGTAGTTTTTACGTCTTAAGTCTTAAGTCTTATGTAATAAGTCTTAAGTCTTATATAACGAGACTTTGGTATAAGAAAGTCTTAAGTCCTAAGACTTAAGACTTAACTTTCCGTATAAGAAGGTCTTAAGTCCTAAGACTTAAGACTTAACTTCGGTATAAGAAGGTCTTAAGTCCTAAGTCTTAAGTCTTAAGTCTTATAAGTCTTAAGACAACATAACAACCGTTGCCATGGTAACCGTTGCTATGTTAATGGTTGACATAACAACTGTTGCCGTTGCAACCGTTGATATAGTAATGATTGCAATATAGTAATGGAAAAAAATTTTTTAACTCATTTTTTGAATAAAAAAATTTTTTAACCCATTAACGCCCAAATGTACAATTTTTTGGACCAAAGTTTGATACTATATTTTAACATAAAAACTCAACTTAAAAAATTCCGCAATAGTAATTTCTTATTGGCCAAAAACCACTCTTTCGAATAGCGTTCCAAAAATTTTTATTAATTTATAAATAAACAAATTACATATGTTTTTAAAAAAAAATATGAAATTTTTATGTTTTATTTTTAGTTTTTCGAATTTTAGTACATGTATTCGTATTGGAACACATCTAAAAGTCCTATAAATAACGCGTCAAAAATATATTCCCTATCAGATAGGGGTATTCCGAAAAAAAATTTCAAAATGGCGACTAAAGTGAATTTTTATTTACAATATCGTAGCCATATAAACAAAATCGCAAAACTTGATCCCATTTAATTAACATGGGAT